TCCTTCCTATAAGAGGACCGATTTTTGTTTCTATACCTTACAGATCATATACATCACAGATCGAAAACAAATTAGCAGACAGCAGATAAGGAATGTAAGCAAGGTGGGCCAGAGTGGTGGCTGCGTGGCTGGCTATGTCACCTGGGAATGAGGGCCAGGATAGATTTAAATATTCTACTCCTTGACCATAAAATAGTGTAGCAAGTACAAACAAAATTAAAGCCCAGCATGCCATCTCTTCAAGCAATTAAAAATAGAGTCACTGTATGATCCAGAAATTTCGCTTCTCCTATAAGCTCCAAAGAATGGATTCATTGTTAAGTTCACAGTGGCTTTACTCTCTACAAGTGTATGGACACATTTATGCCGTGGCACACATGTAGTAGTCAGAGGACAACATGTTGGAGTCAGTTCTCACCTTTCAGTTTGTGGGACCCAGGGATCAAATGCAGATCACTCTGACCATGGAGCCTCAGACCTTGGAAGTGGCAGAGCCTTCTCCAGGTCAGGCTCAGTTGGTTTCCTAACATTGGCAAAGTGTAGAGAAAGCATCCACTCCAACTTTCTCCTCCCAGGGTTTACAGACTAGCCCACTCCCTAGGAGACTTTATACCAAGATTAGCTGGACCTGTCCCCCTTCCGGGTGGATCAAAAACCTGCCTCCTATTCAACTGTATAGGAAGAACTTCCTCCCTTAGGTCAGATGTACATAATAAACCTGCTGGGTTCCTGGGTTCTGTAGTAGGTGCCCTGTCATCAGAGCCAGCATGCCTCCCCCAATCCCAGGCTTGCTCTATGTGTGTCTGTTGTTTCTGCATTCCCAAGTCACCCCACTCAGGTTCCTTGGACCAGCTCATGCAGGACACCGCAAATAAGAAATAACTGTCTCCCACCAAAATGCAAAAAACATGCCGGGCGTTGGTGACACTCGCCTTTAATCCCAGCACTCGGGAGGCAGAGGTAGGCGGATCTCTGTGAGTTTGAGGCCAGCCTGGTCTACAAAGTGAGTTCCAGTACAGCCTCCAAAACAATACAGAGAAACCCTGTCTCGAAAAACAAAAACAACAACAAAAAAATGCAAAATACTTTGGTGTTTTTCTGTGCACGCTATCTATTCCTCCCTTTGAGCTCGTCTGTTGTCTCCTGCCCTCCGCAGGTTGTAGGCCCCACGAAGACAGCAACTTTATTTATTTATTTATTTATTTGGTTTTTGGAGACAGGGTTTCTCTGTAGCTTTGGAGGCTGTCCTGGAACTCACTTTGTAGACCAGGCTGGCCTCGAACTCACAGAGATCCGCCTGCCTCTGCCTCCAGAGTGCTGGGATTAAAGGTGTGCGCCACCAACGCCCGGCTGACAGCAACTTTAAAGTCTTACTTCACTCCTGTTTCCAGAGCCTAGGACACTGCTTAACTCACAGAAGACATCCAGTAACTATTATTTTTTAAAGATTTGATTTTTTTTGTTTGTTTGTTTCTATTTTTTGAGACAGGGTTTTTCTGTGTAGCCCGGCTGGACAGTTATGAGCTGCCGTGTGGGTGCTGGGAATTGAACCCTGGTCCTCTGGGAGAAGAACAAGTGTTCTTAACCACTGAGCCATCTCTCCGGCTCCAGTGAGCGTATTTTTAGTGAATAAATGAACAACGACTTGTCCAAGTTTGCTCTTCCACAAATAGAAGTTAGCTTCTTTTCTTGCTGCTGTGACAAAATCCGTGACAAGAGCAAGCAGCTTAAAGAAGGTGCGACTGTTTTGGCTAACAGTTTAAGGTCACAGTCCATCCTGCTGAGGAAGGCATGGCAGCAGGACCGTAAGGTGATTGGTCCCTCTGCTTCAGCAACCCTGAAGCAGGGAGTCGGCCTTGGTGTTCAGTCCCCCTTCCTTTTACTAGGAACAAGGGCTTCAGCTCAAGGAATATTGCCACCCACATTCAGGGTGGATCTCTCTTCCTAATTAAATCCTCCCAGAAGCTTCCTCAGAGACCCACCCCAGGTGTGTTCCTGCGGTGATTTTTATCTCATCAAATTAACTGTCATAGAGAGATATTGGAAAATGGGCTGGCCCTGTCTGCCACTGTAAACTGTCACCAGAAAATGTAAGTTCATGTTTCAACAGTCCGGTATTGTCTCACTCGTATTTTTGCCAATCTGATGGATGTGAATGGTGTGAATTGTTTTATTTTTCATCTTGGTTATTAAAGAGATTGAGCATTTTCTCTTAAGCTTTTCCACTGATGTGCCTACTCATATCCTTTGTCCATTTTAAAACTAGGATGTTTATCTTGTCTATGGGTATAGATAGAGATTTGGATGAGTATGGATGTAGAAAAGGAGAAATATACAGATACCAACTTTTGTTAGCTGTTTTTCTCTTTCTTTCATCTTCCTCCCTCCCTCCTTTCTTTCTTGTTTATTTACTTATGAGAGTGTCTCATGGACCCCAGGCTGGCCTTGAACTCAATCTGTAGTTGAGGATGACTTTAAACGTCTGATCCTCTCGCCTCTATCTCCCAAGTGCTAGGATTACTGGCGTGTGCCACTGTGCTCTGTTTTATGTGGTGCTGGGGTTTGAACCCAGTGCTGTCTGCGTGCTAGGCAAGCTCTCTATCACCTGAGCTGCACCCCTAGCAATTTGCTGGTCTGTGAAAAGTTTCTAGTCAGTGGCTCATGTTTTCTTTGTAGTATGCTTCTGTTTAGAGCCAGGCATTTAAAAAACCTATTCATCTTTACCTGTATAATTTGGACTTTATATACTTGATATACTTGTTTAATAAATCCTTTTTTGTCCTGAACTGGTAAAGACATACTCTTTTTAGCATCTTCTATCAACCTTTTACTCAGAAATAACTTCAAACTTATGAAACACTACAAAAAATAGCAAAGAACTTACTCATGCTGTCTACCCTGATTCACCTGTGTTTTTTGGAGCATGCGTGTTTGTGGAGTATGCACTTATGTACTTGTGTATACTTGGGCACACTGGTCTGTGCACACCCAGAGACTGACATTGATCTATCTCTCTCCACCTTATTTTTTGAAGTTATAATTACATCATTTCCCACTTCTCTTTCCTCCCTCCAACCTCTCCCATGCACCCTCCTTGCTCTCTCAAATTCATGGCCTCTTTTCCTTAATTGTTTATATATATACCCCTAAATATATAAATCCAACCTTCTCAGTCTGTATAATATTACCTGTATGTATATGACCTCAGGGCTGACCGCTTGGTATCCGACAGCAACTGGAGGGCTCTTTCCTGGGGGAGACCGTTCCTCCTGCTGTCAGGATTCGACCATTGCCTGTAGTTCTTTATGTAGGGAAGAGACCCCTGGGCTTGGCCCCTTTCATGTTAGAATGCCCATTGGTGTCTTTGTTTAGGCAGCCATGCTGATGAGATCTGATGATGTCTCTGGGAGACTAAATTATGGAGACTTCATAAGTGTGTGTGTCATCCTTTCGAAGAGGCCATGCTGATCCTGTCTGTATGGTTCCAATTTTAGTATATGTGCTGCACCATTCTGTTATATTTTAATTTAATTTAATTTTTTTAGATAGGGTTTCTAGGGTTTAGATAGTCTTGGCCGTCCTGGAACTCACTCTGTAGACCAAGCTGAACTAGAACTCAAAGAGATCCATCTGTCTCTGCCTCCCAAGTGCTGCGATTAAAGGCATGCACCACTCCTGGCTTAGTCTTATTTTATTATTTTATGTGTATGGCTGTTTTGCCTGCATGTTTGTCTGTGCACCTGCCTTCAGAGGCCAGAAAAGGGCTTTGGATCTCCTGGAATTGGAGTTACAGAAAGTTGTGAGGCACCATGTAGGCGCTGGGAGTCAAACCTAGGTCCTCTGGAAGGCAGCAAGTGTTCTCTAACCCCTAATATTGATTTTTATTACATTTATTCATTGATTTTGTGAGTGTGAGTATACCACAGTGTGTGTGTGTGTGTGTGTTTCTATGTGGATGAGTGTGTGTTTCTGTGTATGCGTGTACATGTGGAAGCCAGAGGCTCACCACAAGAGTCATTCTTCAAGAGCCATCTTGACAATGTTCTTTTGTTTGGTCCAAGACATGACTTCACTATGTGGCCAGACTGGCCTCAAAGTCACCAACCCCTCACATCTATCTCCTGAGATTACAGGCTCCCACTACACCTGACTGATGCTGACATCCTTGTAGCATTTTTTTTTTCTGAGACAGGGTTTCTTTGTGAGACAACCCTGGTTGTCTCGGAACTTGCTCTGTAGAGCAGGCTTGTCTTGAACTCAGAGATCTGCTGGCCTCTGCCTCCTGAGTGCTGGGATTTAAAGCGTGTCCCACAATTGCCCAACTCCAGGATGATTCTTATCTGATTCAAAATTTGCAGAGACAACTGAAAAAATATAAAGTTTTGATTTTCACGCGCAAGTCTAAGACCTGTCAGTGAATTTGCATGCGGTACAGGCCGGATTCTTTTAGCTTTCCTCCATGTGTGTTTAGCTAAGCAGCTCCGGTTGTCTAAAAGCAGGGCAGATCCCACCCAAGAGAGGAGCATGAGGGACTCCCACCCTCCATCAGCCCGCCCATCTCTGCTTGATTAAAAGATCCTAATCGGCTTAGGAAGATTAAGGGCTGCATCGGGCAGTTCCCACACCCCCGCCCTGGGCTGGGCTGCCAGGGGAGACAGAAGGGGCATCGACCCTGTGACCCCTTAACCAGGTCCCATTCCGGGACTTCCTGGTAAGTAGTAAATGACCCATTCGGTGGACGCGGGTCCTGTGTGAGGGTGTGAGAGTATTCCCACCGGACCTGAGGCTGCTGATCAGGGAGGGAGGATAAACAAGCTCGGACAAGCAGGCCAGGCCAAAGAGGCCTTGGGCCAGTGCCCCCATCTAGGCTCCAAGTGAGTGGAAGCCTAGACACCCTGGGGGTTGGGAGGGATTTGAAAAACCGACTTGAGCCGAGAACCCTAAGGGAGATCTGGGGGGGGGGTCTCAATTCTCCTGCTCGCTCTGTGTTCACAGAAGAGGGCAATGACCGCGTGGCTCCTGCCAGCGGGTGGGCTTCTCGACGCCGGGTTCTGCGTCCCTGTGTGGCAGCCCTCGTCCAGCCTTTCGAGGGTCCTGCGCTGGCCAGGGCCTCGGCTGCCCGGACTCCTGTTCCTGCTGCTGCTCCCGCCGCCCGCTGCCCTCTCGGCCGTGTTCAAAGTGGGGGTCCTGGGCCCCTGGACTTGTGACCCCATCTTCGCCCGGGCCCGCCCGGATCTGGCTGCGGGTCTGGCCACCAACCGCCTGAATCGTGACCTTGCCCTGGACGGAGGTCCCCGGTTCGAGGTTGCGCTGCTCCCAGAGCCCTGCCTGACCCCGGGCTCTCTGGGGGCTGTGTCCTCTGCGCTGGCTCGAGTCTCTGGCCTGGTGGGTCCAGTGAACCCCGCAGCCTGCCGGCCAGCAGAGCTACTAGCCCAGGAGGCTGGAGTAGCGCTGGTGCCCTGGGGCTGCCCAGGCACGCGGGCGGCTGGCACTACAGCCCCGGCGGTGACCCCCGCTGCAGATGCCCTCTACGTCCTCCTTAGAGCATTCCGCTGGGCGCGCGTGTCCCTCATCACCGCGCCCCAGGACCTGTGGGTGGAGGCGGGACGTGCGCTGTCCACAGCACTCAGGGCCCGGGGCTTGCCGGTTGCCCTAGTAACCTCCATGGAGCCCTCAGACCTGTCTGGAGCTCGGAAGGCCCTCAGGAGGATCCGGGAGGGGCCTAGAGTTAGAGGTAGGCTCCCATGTAGAGTGACGGGAGATGGGCGGGTCCTGCGGGCAGCGGGCAGCGCAGCGAGCCAAGTTCTGTGTCCGCAGTAGTGATCATGGTGATGCACTCGGTGCTGCTGGGAGGCGAGGAACAGCGCTACCTACTGGAAGCTGCAGAAGAGCTGGGACTAACTGATGGCTCTCTGGTCTTCCTGCCCTTCGACACGCTGCACTATGCGTTGTCTCCAGGCCCGGAGGCTCTGGCTGCACTTGTCAACAGCTCCCGGCTTCGCAGGGCTCACGATGCGGTGCTCACACTCACGCGCCACTGTCCTCCGGGAGGCAGCGTGCAGGACAGCCTGCGCAGGGCCCAAGAGCACCAGGAGCTGCCCCCTGACCTCAACCTGCAGCAGGTAGACGGACTAATGAATAGAGAAGAGGGAGCAGAGTCAGGGAAGTGAGCAGAGAACAGACAAGGAGAGAAGGATGGAACCAGTAGGAAGTGGGGGAGTGGGGGGTGGGAAATGTGAAGGGGCGCGTGGACAAAGTGGGAAAGGGGAGGGTGGAGCCAATGGGAAAGGGAAGGGTGGAGCCAATGGGAAAGGGGAGGGTGGAGCCAATGGGAAAGGGGAGGGTGGAGCCGGTGGGAATGAGAAGGGTGGAGTCAATGGGAAAGGGAGGGTGGAGCCAATGAGAAAGGGGAGGGTGGAGCCAATGGGAAAGGTGGAGCCAATGGGAAAGGGGAGGGTGGAGCCAATGAGAAAGGGGTGGGTGGAGCCAACAAGGAGTGACCCTTAGTCACCGCGGATTTGGAGTTTCCTGGGTGCTGTGGAAGTTCTAGTTTTGCTTAGGGTATCCTCATTACTATGATTACGCCTCCCCCTCCCCGAGAGTAGGCAATGAGACCTCTCAAATCAGGCTCCAAGGAGTAAATCCTAAATCGCCATGTCATTTTTAGTTTGCTTCAAAGCAGGCTTATCCCAGTACCTCGAGAACATACCCAACAAGCAGCTGGTGTTCTGGGAAAGAGAGGGATGCAGATTCACCCTTCACACCTAGTCCCCGACTTTGCTCTTTGGGTCCCCGACTTTGCTCTCTGGTCACACCGGTGCTCTTAACTATGTGGGGATGGGGGGGTCCCATAATCAGATCCAAGATCCAAAGACAGTTTCCAACACCCAGGTAGTAACCAGAACTCCTTGATCACCAGGATCTCAGTTCAGACCATCTAATTCCATCCCAGTCACATGGGAGTCTAGAAGCTATTGAGGAAGAAGGGAAACTAGGTATTAATAGGAAGAAAATTAGTAATCAAGAAGGCCATATTCATGTCAGGACTGGCAACATGGATTTGTAATCTCGGGTACTCAGAAGGCTGAGGAAGGAGGATAGAAAGTGCAGGACCTCTCTGAGCTATAGAGCAAATTCAAGACAAGTCTGGTCAATTGAGGGGCCTATCTCATAAACAAGAGATGGGTGGGGCAGTGGTGGCACACGTCTTTATTCCCAGCACTCAGGAGGCAGAGGCAGGTGGATCTCTGTGAGTTCGAGGCCAGCCTGGTCTATGGAGCGAGTTCCAGGACAGCCTCTAAAGCTACAGAGAAACCCTGCCTCAGACAAACAGGCCAAGAGATGGTCACACAGCACAGTGGAGGCTGCTTGGCAGACTTGTGCAAGGCCTTAGGTTCAATTTCCCCAAACAAATGAATAGCCATACTCATACGCAAAGGGACCACGGAAAGAAGGCTAAGGTGGGAATGGGTGAGGAGGCATGCTGAACCACAACCCAGCAGTGCCTCTAACCTTCATGAAGGTGCTTGGAATAGGAAGGAAGAAAGGACGGGAGATGGGATGGGAGTCTGTCAGTCAGAAAGGCAAGGGCAACGATGCTGCCATTTGTTGTCAGTGAGCAGTACGGCCACATGCTGGAGCCCCGTTCTCCTCCTTGTCACCGCCAAACCCAGGCAAGAAGCACTGTTACTTTTCCTCCCGAAGGTCATTAGACTCCATTTGTACTGTCCTCCCTCACTGGCACTGCCCTGACCCAGGCCACAGCATATCTGGACCCACGCCTAGGATCTCCCAACTCTCACATGACCCAGGTTTCTCTCCCCCAACAATGAGATCTGGCTTCAGAAACGGGATGTGGTCTACAATTCCAAGAGCTGGTTCAAGCCCTCCCTGTAGCTTTCGGATGGCTTCCTGCAGCCTGAGTTGGGGGCCTTCATCACCCTGTAGAGGTGGAGGCGTCTTCACAAGTCCTAGCAGGACTTGACTCTTCATTTCCCTTACATCTTCCGTGAACTTCTGCCAGGCTAAGCCACTTTGGGTCCCCTAAATGTGCCCTTCTCTTTTGTCTCTCTCCTACCCATTCCCCCCTCGATAATTCTGATTCATGACCTAGGGGAAGGTCCGGAACCTTCCACCTCTTCCTCCCTCCTTTGCATGCCTAAAGCCCTCCTGCTTCCCTGTGCCTTCACTATTCCACTCCCTTAGCATCTGGTTCCTCCTAAACCAAAGGAATGTTTGCTCACAGGAGAGGACTGTCTCACACACCATGTGTCACTAGTGTTCCGTGGTATCTGCCATCCCAAGAAACAGGAATTGGGCATAGTAGTGAGGAGAGGTACCAACGGTAGTACTTCTTTGGGGTAGGGATGGAGGAAACCCTGATAACCAAGGCAGGCCTGGTAACGTGGGCAAGTAATCATAGATAATTAAAAGGCTGAAGCGAGAGGATCGAAAATTCAACATCTGCTTTGGGATGTACCGTGTGTGTGGTGTGTGCGTGTGCGTGTGTGTGTGTGTGTGTGTGTGTGTGTGTATGTGTGTGTGTGTCTGTGTGTGTGTATGTGTGTGTGTGTGTTATGTAAGAAAGAGTGGAAAAGAGAGAGGAGGGAGAAGGCAGGAGTAAAGATAGATCCAGATAGATCCACCATCTTCCTAGGCCTCATAATGAGTTTAAGGTCAAACTCAGCATTTTAGAAAGATCATGACTCAATAAATGAAATAAACAACAAAAAGACATGAGCAGAGGATTAGGGGAGGGGTTTTAGATGAATGGTAGGTGATGAGATTTTTTGTTTTGTTTTGTTTTCTTTTTTTTTGAGACATGATTTATTTGTATTGTTTTGGAGCCTGTCCTGGAACTCACTTTGTAGACCAGGCTGGCCTTGAACTCATAGAGATCCACCTGCCTCTGCCTCCTGAGTGCTGGGATTACAGGCATGCAGGTAGGTGATGAGATTAAAGGTATAAGCCAGGCAAAAAACTAGATGAGAAAGTCTCAGCTATGGAAAGTTACTGAACTGATGAGAGAAGAACCTCATTTCTGAAAGGAGGTACCATCAATGCCAACAGACAATAAGGAGGATGGGGAGCCATCACCTAGGAGATAGGAACCCTCAGAGCTAGTGGGGCCGATGAAGGAACAGGCTTTCCAGAGAATTCTCGCCCGTTTATGGGTTCTAAGTCCTCACTCTCTCCTCTCCTCTCCTCTAGGTGTCTCCACTGTTTGGAACCATCTATGATGCTGTCTTCCTGTTGGCTGGAGGAGTGACGAGAGCCAGAGCAGCTGTGGGTGGTGGGTGGGTGTCAGGTGCATCTGTGGCCCGCCAAGTTCAGGAAGCCCAAGTTTCTGGCTTTTGCGGGGTCCTGGGAAGAACCGAGGAGCCCTCCTTTGTGCTGCTGGACACAGATGCCTCTGGAGACCGGCTCCTCGCCACACACCTGCTGGATCCCATCCGAGGCTCTATGCGCTCAGCTGGGACCCCTGTGCACTTCCCTCGAGGGGGACCTGCGCCTGGGCCAGACCCTTCCTGCTGGTTCGATCCAGATGTGATCTGCAACGGAGGTGAGGGGAGCACCCTCAGGCTCCCATGGAAACAGTTAGCATGGGCAATTCACAAAGTTCTGAGAGAGAGAGGGAAACCCGATATTTTCCCCGGCCCTCCTTCAGCCCATATCTTGCTCAGGGTTCCAATCAAGGACTTCCAAAGCCCTTGAGGACCCTGCAGCATCTCCAGACCACCCCTTTGAGGAATCTGTGAGCTTGCACACAGCAAGCCCATTTCTTAGATTTGTCATGACTGATTGAACATCTCCCTCCCTTAAGAGGTCCTTCTCCCTCCAAGACCAAGTGTCCGTCTCTTTGTCCCTTCAGGAGTGGAGCCAGGCCTGGTCTTTGTTGGCTTCCTCCTGGTGATAGGGGTGGCGCTGACTGGGGCCTTCCTGGCTCATTACTTGAGGTGAGTAAGGGAAGTAAAATTGGGTCACAAAGACAGGAGTGAGGGCCATAAAAGGGGGGAAAGCCATTTTGGGGAGGGACCCAGGGAGTTGGCAGAATTTTTAGGGAATAGCTATATTCCAGTACACTTCCTTGAACTAATGTCACCGTTCTGCTCTATCCCCTGTTGGCCTCTTATGGAATTTGTGGGGATGACCATGTCCCCCACCAGGCACAGGCTGCTACACATGCAGATGGTCTCCGGACCCAACAAGATCATCCTGACTCTGGAAGATGTTACCTTCCTCCACCCACAGGGGGGCAGCTCTCGGAAGGTCAGGAAAGCAGGGAGCCAGGAGGCACCTGTACTTCCCCCAGGCCAGCAATCCCCCCAGCTCCCATGTGAGAAACTTAGCTTCTGGCCCAGCTGTGTCCTTGGGAATCAGAGACCTTATCTATGCAATAGGGGTGACAGTCCTGTCTTGGGCTGGTATGAAGGTCCAACTAGAAAAGAAATATTTGTTTTGTAAGCTGTGGTGTACTGGGTACCATCTCCACCTGCCCTGCAGATTCCTTTTCCTCATTTCTTTCAGCCACAGAACTCAGCATGAGCCGAGGTCTTTAACCCCTGAATATATTCTGACACTTGCATTGCCCTCTGTCCTCAGGTGGCCCAGGGCAGTAGATCGAGTCTGGCTACCCGGAGCACATCAGACATTCGCAGTGTCCCCAGCCAGCCCCCAGAGAGCACCAACATTGGCCTCTATGAGGTGAGCTAAAGCTGGTACTCCAGGAGGGGAAAAACAGGAAGAATGCTGGAACCCATGCCAAGAGGAAAAACACTATCAAGGGAGAGTTAAGTCGTACCCTGGAGCATCCAGGCAGGGAGATGAAGCTGGGCAGGATCTAGGGCAAAAGTCACAGATTTAGCAACCCTAACCTGATTCTCCAATCTGGAAATCCTTCCAGCCACAAGATTCAGGTGAGAGCTCCCCAAAACCCAAAATCTGGAGGCTGGGGCTGCTCTGGAGCATGCTGGGATCAGGCTGGTGTAGCCAGTGAGGCCAGCGCCTTCTCTACTGCGAGTCCCTGCCCCTGCCCCCTCAACATTTTCAACCAGTTCTGGTCAGACTCATGAACACAAGCCCTCCACCAGAAAAGAAATGCCAGAGAGCACTAACAGCTGGGCCAGCACATGTGAATGTGGTCAAGTGGGTGAGAAATGCCAAGAGGAGGTTTGGAGAATTCAGCTCATCGGGAAGAGTGAGGAGAGCACCCAAGCCCAAGGCCTTGGAGAGAACGCACAAGTTCTCCCTGTGTCACCCGAGACCATGGTGACCGCTTCCTAGAGACACATTATTGTTGCTTTTAATAATCTACTTATTTTTATTTTATGTGCACTGGTGTCTTGCCTGCATGTATGTCTGTGTGAGGGTATCAGGTCTTGGAATTTCACAGTTGTGAGCTGCTGTGTGGTGCTAGAAATTGAATCTAGAAGAATAGCTGGTGCTCTTAGCCATGGATCCATCTCCCCGCACCACATTATTGTTATTTTAAGCACGGTGTTAGATGCTTGGGACCACTCTCTGCCTATGCTAAGTCTTTCTTCTCTCTGGCCCTGCCCACTAAATGCAACCCCAGTTTTTATCTCTACATTTACTTCCAAATGCTTAATAGGAGTCAATACCAAATCCTCATGAATCTCTTCTAGTTCATATCTCTTAGCAACAGGTCAGACCACTAATCTGATTTGCAAGGCCCAGGGCAAATTAAGAACAAAGGGCTCCCTGTTCATCCAGATGACAGCAGCAAGTCACTGAACCAAGTGGCCACACCATGGCATGCCATGGGCTGACCCCACAAGCAGCTGGAGACAAGGAGGCCAGGGTCCAGAGCGAGACCCCTCCCTCCACAGCTAGTTCACAATAATCCCTGATGACTCCTAGTTCTCTCTCATGACAGGGCATAGTGAGGAGGGCTGTGTGTGTAACAGTCCGCGTGTGTGACTGTTGATGGGAGTATCTGGGAGGTGAGGACCACCATACATGACTTCCCATCGTCCTCACCTGGGCTCTGACCCAGCTACCCGTGAAACGCATGGGCGTACATTGAGCCGTTTACCTCTGATGTTCTCTGTCTTATGGCAGATGTGCTGGGGCACTGGGGCACTGGGGCACTGGGGCTCGGGGGCACTGGAAATGTGACAGCCCTAGAGCAGCTTGCATCTTGGGGCTTTAAGGGCTCAATTCCTTAACCTTCTGCTGCAGGGAGACTGGGTTTGGCTGAAGAAATTTCCAGGGGATCATCACATGGCTATCAGGCCAGCAACCAAGACGGCCTTCTCCAAGGTGAGCCATGATGGGGAGTTGGGTGGCTGTCCTGCCCATTCCTGGCTTCTTTTTGTAGCAGGTTACAGGAGTAATTCCTAGGGTTTCCTTCCACTCCAGAGAGGACTTCCTACCATATCTCATGATATTAACCTTTCTCTTTGACACTCTTATCACAAGTTATATGTGACAAATGACATGTTAATTGATCACAAAAGTTGTACATTCAGCTATGGTCTGGCTTATCTGCCTCCACACATGGATGGAAGTCAAATGAGGGTGCTACCATATTCCCAGCACCCAGCACAGGGTCTGGAATATCAGAGGCCAGTGGATTTGTGTTGAGTGAAATGGTTAAAAAAAAAAAAAAGTAAAAATGAGGACCCATTGAGATGGCTGGACCAAGGTGCCTACTGACAAGTCTAGTCACCCCCATTAACAGAAGGAAAGAGCTGACTGCTGCCAAATTGCCCTCTGATCTCCACATGGGTGCCGTGGCACACACATGCCCACACACGTGCACACATGCAGATATGCACACATAAAAACAGGAAATGTCAATGGGTTTCCACTGCTGCGAGGACACCTGTGGGATGTGGCCCCAGCTGTGCTGACGTATGAATAAAGTGGGCATTTGGCAAGGAGGCAGTAGAACAACTTACCCCGGTGTTTTCAGCTTTCCTGGCCCCTTCCCCCAGCACCAAGCATCCGTAGTTGGGCCTCTTACCAGGAGGCAGCCACTGGGGCTTGTGATCAGAGTTGGGAGTGACTTAAGTGAGTTGCCTTTGTGGACAAAGTCACCGTTTGACACTAGGTGTTTAAAATGAAAAGCAGCTCTTAACTGGGCATGTGGCCCCAGGGGCAGCTGGAAGGCAGCAGCATTTGGTCTGTCCAGCCCTTCACCAACAACTGCCACATTAGAAAGAGCAGGGTATGGCAAGCTTCTTCCTGCCTTCCCTTTACGACGTGACGTAACTCTGTAGTTAACTAAGTCCCTCAGCTTTCTAGTTAGCAAATCGGAACCTGACTGGGTCCTAAGCCCCAGTGTATGTTCGTTTTTTCATTCATAATTTTAAGCTTCGCCATTCATAATCCGAACAGAACTATAGAGAGAAGAAAGGCCTCCCACCCCCCCCTTCCTATTTTACTTACCATTTTCAATCGTATATCCCCAGTTTGGATGCCCGAGACACTGAATGGGGGAGGGGGATATTGGTGCTCCGTGCATTGCCTCCTGGGGGGAAAAAGCCTGGGTTTCTGCCTTTCAGCTGCGGGAGCTTCGGCACGAGAACGTGGTCCTCTACCTGGGGCTCTTCCTGGCAGGGACAGCAGACAGTCCTGCCGCCCCTGGGGAGGGCATCTTGGCTGTGGTTTCAGAACACTGTGCTCGGGGCTCCCTCCATGATCTCCTGGCCCAGAGAGACATAAAGCTGGACTGGATGTTCAAGTCTTCGCTCTTGCTGGACCTCATCAAGGTGTGTGTGTGTGTGTGTGTGTGTGTGTGTGTGTGTGTGTGTGTGTGTGTGCCGGTGTGTGTGTGTGTGCCGGTGTGTGTTTGTGGGAGGTAGAGATGTACTGGCGGGGGAGGGGGTCAGGGGAACTGAGGTTGTCTCTTCCTGCACTCCTTCCAAGGGAATGAGATATCTGCACCATCGCGGTGTGGCCCACGGGAGGCTTAAGTCTCGGAACTGCGTGGTGGACGGGAGGTTCGTGCTCAAGGTGACAGATCATGGCCACGGGCGGCTGCTGGAAGCGCAAAGGGTGCTACCTGAGCCTCCCAGTGCGGAAGGTAGGAGTCCCCAGCTGTTCTACCCCTCCCCCCCCCCCCCCCCGGCACTGGAGCATCCCTTAGGATCTGCATAGTTGCAAGTGCTTTCCCCTCCAACCCTTCCTCGCACTCTTCACATTCCAGATCTACTAACACTAAGCCTGAGCTCTGGGATACGCTCTGGTTTGCTGAAAGCTGGCTCTCTGGAGGCGGAGTCTGCCCTAGGCACCGCCTTCGTGAGGGCGGACTTTTCTCTGAAAAGTTTTGAATCTCAAATAGTTTCTGCTCTGAGATATTTGAGGGGTTGTTGTGTTAATTAGTATCAGTGAGGACGAGGGTCTGATCCTCAAGGCCACCGCAGCCTCTCTGGTGACAATGCCCCTCTTCCTTGTTCCTAGATCAGCTTTGGACAGCCCCAGAGCTGCTTCGGGACCCAGCCCTGGAGCGACGGGGAACACTAGCTGGTGATGTCTTTAGCCTGGGAATCATCATGCAGGAGGTCGTGTGCCGCAGCACCCCCTATGCCATGCTGGAGCTAACACCCGAGGGTAAGGTGGCTTGGGGCCAGGTTAAAACGGCCAAGCCAGACCCAACCTGGTTCTTTAACAAAGTGAAGCCCGTGGTGAGACTTAAGTTTGTGGTGACTTTCTTAGAGCTGGGCTCTGAAAACAGTAGTGGGGAAGCCAAGCGTGAGGCAGGTGTTTCAGGACACAGATGAAACAGCTTCTGTCCTAACCCTGGACCCACCCTGCTCTTCCATCACACAGCTGTTAATTATTTTAATGTGGCTGCTGGAGACCCAAGCTCAGGTCTTCTGGCTTGAATGCCAGGCACTTACTGACTGAGCCATCTCCTAAAGCTTGGAAGTGTTAATTTAAAACTCCTAGCCAGGCGGCTTGTGGTGGTGCACACCTTTAATTCCAGCACTCAGGAGACTGAGGCAGGCAGATTCTGTGAGTTTGAGGCCAGCCTGGTCTGCAGAGTGAGTTCCAGGACAGCCAAGGCTACACAGAGAAACCCCGTCTCAAACAAACAAACAAACAAACAATTCTCTCTAGCTGGTTAGTCGAGTACTTACTTGCCTAGCGTACACAAAGTCCCGAGTTCAGTTCCCAGCACCGCAATGTCTCGGCATAGTAGTACAAGCCCGTGGTCCCAGCACTTGCTTGGGAGTGGAACTAGATGGCTTGGAAGTTCCGGGGTCGTCCTCAGCTACATAGCAAATTGGAGACAGGCTTGGACTCATGAGACCCTCTTTCAGTGCTCCATCCGAGGCCAGCGTCAGAGGTGGGCTTTATTTGCGGTCGCCCAATTCTCACAGTTTCTTCTTGCCTCTAGAAGTGATCCAGAGGGTGCAGAGCCCTCCGCCACTGTGTCGGCCCTTGGTGTCAATGGACCAGGCACCCATGGAGTGCATCCAGCTGATGACACAGTGCTGGGCTGAGCAGCCAGAACTTCGTCCCTCTATGGACCACACCTTTGACCTGGTCAGGAGCTAGGATTGGGCAAGGACTGGGCTGGCCCCTGGGGATCCCAGATTCTTGTTAGTGTCCTGTTCCCGGGCAAGCAGGCTGGCAGGAGCTTTGATCTTTTAGGCTCTTTCCTAAGGACTGCAACTTTGGTAGGGAAGGTCTTGAATGCAGATGAGGACTTGTGGAAGCCTTTGGAATGGGAAAGAGAACTCTGGGTGGGAGAAATAATTAAATCAAATCAAATAACATTGACTAAGAACCAGACATGTACTTGGTTTATTGAGATGGGAAAACCCTTAGCCTGAGTTCAGTGCCTTGTCAATTCCAACTCAGAGAAGCTGTTGGTGGGAACCCTCATTTTCCACACAACTCCTAATAATATCTGCAAACATTGACCAGGAGTCTGGGGGTGCTCCATGAGTAGAAGGTAAATGGTGCTCAGATGTATAGACCCATGAGAGGGTACAGGAGAGGGCCATGGCAGCCAAAGTCTTAGGTGTCTTTTTAAAATAGCTTTCTCCTCTCCTAGTTTAAGAGCATCAACAAGGGCCGGAAAACGAACATCATTGACTCCATGCTTCGGATGCTAGAGCAGTACTCCAGTAACCTGGAGGACCTGATCCGAGAACGCACAGAGGAGTTAGAGCAGGAGAAGCAGAAGACAGACAGGCTGCTCACACAGATGCTGCCTCCGTGGGTGCCTATGTGGACGGGAGTGTGGGGAGAGGGCGGCCAGACTGGGGTAGCCTCCAGGTGACCCCGCGGTTTCCCATTCTTAGATCTGTGGCTGAGGCCCTGAAGATGGGGACATCTGTGGAGCCCGAGTACTTTGAAGAGGTGACACTATACTTCAGTGACATTGTGGGCTTCACCACCATTTCCGCCATGAGTGAGCCCATTGAGGTGGTAGACCTGCTTAATGACCTCTATACACTCTTTGACGCCATCATTGGTGCCCACGATGTCTATAAGGTGGAGTGTTCCGGGAGATACAAACCTCCCACCCTTTGGTTTGGTTTGGTTTCCTATGGATATCTGGGTGTCTTAGGACTTGCTGTGTAGACCAGGCTGGTCTCAGACTTGTAGCAATCCTCCTGCCTCTGCCTCCTGAGTCCTGGGATTAAAGCACGTTCCAGCGTTGCCTGGCTCTGGCTTTCAGTTTAAATGGAGCAGTTCCACCTGCCTCAGGGCACCAGCTGGCTTTCCTCAGCCCTCCTGTCACTAATCTCCTCCTTCAGGCCCCAGGGCAGCTCCTGACTACCACCTAGGCTTTTCTGGGCTCTCTGTCCTTAACCCCCTTAGACCTCCGGACAAGCGACACTGCTATAGCTACTGGGGGAGGGGTGTTCAGAACTGAACAGACACTACCCTTCCCCCCAGGTGGAAACAATTGGAGATGCCTATATGGTGGCCTCCGGGCTGCCACAAAGGAATGGGCAGCGGCATGCCGCAGAGATTGCCAACATGTCTCTGGACATCCTCAGTGCCGTAGGCTCTTTCCGCATGCGCCATATGCCTGAGGTCCCAGTGCGCATCCGCATTGGCCTGCACTCAGGTGACTACTCAGCCCTCCCCGCTGCTGAGCTCCAGGCTTCAGCTACAGGAGGCATACCCTTGGTAGGGGTGGGGTGGGATGGGCCTTGCCTTGAATGTTTTTATTGGGGAAGCTGGTAGAGAGGATGGGTGCTTGCTAGGGTCTCTCAGGGCCCTTTATGCAGCCTAGCTAGGCACCGCCAGCCTCAACCCAGTCTCCGCTTGCCTGCCGTCTCTGACGTGCCATACCTCCCTAGGCCCGTGCGTGGCTGGTGTGGTGGGCCTCACCATGCCTCGGTACTGCCTGTTTGGGGACACAGTCAACACAGCCTCACGAATGGAGTCCACTGGGCTGCGTGAGTTTAACAAAGGAGAGCTCGGGGAGGTGGAGAGAGGCTGGAGGGAGCTGGTGGTCCAGGATGGGGGCATGCGAGGTGAGTCCTGAGATCACGGTGTTCGCTCACTGCCCCAGCTTACCGCATCCATGTGAATACGAGCACTGTTCGGATTCTTAGTGCGCTGGACCAGGGCTTCCAGATGGAGCGGCGAGGCCGCACCGAGCTGAAGGTAAGTCTGGGCCACACTCCGATGTTTTGTGGGGGTCCTTACAGACGTATGGTCTCCGGGTTTCACCTAGTCCTAAAGACTCTCCATCTCTCACCCTGGCCTGCCTATGTCTCCCCTCGTTTGTTTCCCCAGGGCAAGGGTGCTGAAGACACGTACTGGCTTGTGGGCAGAGTCGGCTTCAACAAGCCCATTCCCAAACCACCGGATCTGCAGCCAGGGTGAGTGGTTGGCTTGAACCTGCTGGGTGACACTGGGTAACTGGCTTCTCAGTGGCGCCAGGCAATGGGCCCTCTGTGCCTCCCACACCAAGTCTCGTCCCATACCAAGCAGCAATACTCCAAGTCCTGACCTCCCTCACCCGTTTCTCTTCTCTGAGGCTGCAGTCTTCTCCCTGCAGGGCCAGCAACCATGGCATCAGCCTGCAGGAGATTCCCCCAGAGAGGCGCAGGAAGCTGGAGAAAGCCAGGCCAGGCCAGTTCACTGGGAAGTGATGCTCCCTGGGGACAGGTACTGTGTCTTCCTTCCCTCACCCGCAGGGACCACTCAGTTCTGTTCTGGGGGGTGGGTGCACTTCCCGGGGGTCAGGTCAAAACTAGGCAGGAGTTACCCGCAGGATATATACCACCCAAGCCAAGTGTCCCTATTCCTCTCTGATTTAGGGGACAGGGACTGATTCCTTAGCCAAGAAAAGGAGTTTCCCCTAGAGGAAGCAACAACATTGGGCACACTGGTTTGGTAGGTCTGGAATTTTCCCCCAGAGCTACCCTTTCCCTGAACATAAAACAGGCTTCTCAGAGAGGCTGCTCAAGCTATATACTGCACAATAACAGAATTCTGGGGATAGCATTTGCAAGGTTGTATTTGCAGTTCTGTCAGAGCCAAAGGTTTCTCCACAGCCTCATGCAGGAATCTCTAGGCCATGATCCTCCCTATGCACACTTTTCTTCCTCTCTGAGACAGCTGTCATCCCCTCAGGACTATTGTGCAAGGTCCTTCCTGAAGTTGCTGCTATCCGTCAGACTGATGCTGGCTGATGTCGGCTTATATGTCAGCTTCTGTCCAGTTCCGCCTCCAAGGATTCTGAGCCAGGAGCCTGCTGCAAGCCAGCATGTGACCTTGGGAAGATCTGAAGTGCTCTCCAGGCTCCCCTCAGCGGTAGAATGAGGGGGGCTAAGTGGTTTCCACCACCCTGTGGCTCTTACAGTGAGGCTTTCGAGTGGCTGGCCTTGGGATTCAGGGCACTGTGGCATATGGCCCTCAGCTCCAAGAACCCTGAGCTCCACTCTCTGGGCCCTGTGAGACTCCAGAAGTGAGCATCTGGGATCAGAAACCCCAGAGGACGTGGAGGCCTCGTGTTCTACAGGTCAGGGGTCATTATGTGGCCTGGAAAGGCCAGGGCTTCTGTATAGCATCCATCCTGCTCCCTCTCCATCACTCATGGTCAGAAACTGGTCCCTTCTCCAATGGGCAGAACCAAATCACTTGCCCAAGTGCAGAGAAAAGCTTGCTTTGATGCTCTGGGGGAGGGAAACTAGCTGCACCCAAACTTTGCTAACCAGAATGGCAGATGAATAGTTTATTATCTACTTAGCTGGGTACTGGTGAAATGATAATAATAAAATAAACATTTCCCCTGAGATCTTTGCAACAAACATCCACACCTAGTCCTGACAAATCCCCCACTGAAGTTTCCTTTGTGGAGCTCTGAGGTGACAGCGCCTGGACTTTGAAATGTTCACTCTAGCTGTCTCTGTCGTTGGCACAGTTTCTGGAGGAAGTTGGCAGCAGACACCCACTAGGTAGTGAGTGTCCAGGACCTGGTCAGGCAAACAGGATGGAGATGGTGTTGGCAGAATCTGAAAGAGATGAAATCAAGTCCTCACTAAGAGAGGCACAGCTGGTAGGCCAGCAGCATCAGCATCGTCTGGGAGACTGTTAGACTCACAGAGCCTCAGTCCCCCCCCCCACACACACACAGAATCGAGTCTGCCTGTGAAGGAAGCCCCTTAAAGCTGCACAGGCCCACAATGAGAATGGGCAGGACAAATTGGTTTGATTTGGCTCATGGGATGTTTTGTTTTGAGCTAGCATATGGAAATCAATTTAAAAGTGGTACACACATACCCTACACACATATACTTACATGTGTGCTGGGGGTGAGGGGCAGGTGTGGTAGCACATGCACACCTTCAGTGCTAGCACTGAACAGGCAGAGGCAGGTGGATCTCTGAGAGTTTGAAGCCAGCCTGGTCTACAGAGTGAGCTCCAGGCCCACCAGAGCTGCCAGTAAGAACCTGTCTAAACAAAACAACTATGTGTAGTTATAGGGCTAGATTAACTTTCTTTAAAAAAAAATGTAGTTACCCCTGAGTATCTATAAGGCATCAATTCAAGGACTGTAGTGGATACCAAATTCCTTGGATCTCAAGTCCTTTATATAAGACATAACTTAAAAAATTTTTTTTCAAGACAGGGTTTCTCTGTGTAGCTCTGTTTACCAGGCTGGCCTTGAACTCACAGAGGTCTGCCTGCCTCTGCCTCCCGAGTGTTGTTAAAGGCATGCGCCACCACCATCCAGCTAAGATATAACTTTTTATACAGTGCCGATGCACTTTTTCCTGTGTACTTAAGTAATTTCTTCATTATTTGTAATATATATGGTAGAGATAATGACAAGAAAAAAGTAGTACATGCTCAGTGCAGATACACCTTCCTAGGCCTAACTGCACAGCACAGATTCATGGTTGGCTGTGTTGACATAAAAACCGCAGCTCTCATCATAAGGGGAGTAAGAGGTAATTTATGCTGGGGCTGTTTTGAGTGACCATGGCCTGGGAACACAGATTTTGGTTACCCCAGATTCCATGCTCCAACATGGAAGCAGTTTCATAAGGTTTTTATATTTTTACAGAAAGAAGGAAGTCACAAATCAAGCCAACTTTAAAACGCATCAGTGGATGGGCCAGAGAGGTGGATTCAGTGAGATGGGGAGCTAGTCTCAAGGCCGAGATGCTGCTTTATGACATTCCTGGCTCGTGGAGTGGTGGACGCTAGTGTTCTAAGCTTCTAAGAGGGTTTTTGTTTGTTTGTTTTGTTTTGTTTTGTTTTGTTTTGTTTTGAGACAGGGTTTCTCTGTGTAGCCCTGGCTGTCCTGGAACTCACTCTGTAGAGCAGGCTGGCCTCGAACTCACAGAGATCCACCTGCCTCTGCCTCCCCAGTGCTGGTGTGCCACCACTGCCCGGCTGAAGTTTTTACTTATTATCACAAGATATTAGTTTGGATACAGAGTGGGACAGGAATGGCTGTTCCAACAGGATAGAACTAGCTCAAGATAAAGTAATTTGCCTCTGAACAAAATTCCAATCTCCACAGTAGTGAAATTCCAGTTCCTGGAGTTTCTTGGTCACGGGCTGACGGGCTTCTTTTCAGGAATTTTTGTTCACAACCGAATCCATGGATGTGGCATCGGGAAATGCAAAGGCCTGACTATCCTAGACGCCCCCCTTTTCCCTGAAATTGAAAACGCCATGTGGGGCTTGCATCATCCCTTGGCCAAAGTCACTTTGATCCAGGTGTCACCCCTCCGGTTCTCACGGTCCTCACTAACCCTAATAACCACAAACACCACAGCTTCTTTTGTGAACACCCTTTGTCTGGCATCTGTACACATTAAGCCTAGAATGTTAAGATCACAGCTACTTTTAGAGCCTGCTTTTTCCTCCTCTTCCTTCTCCTTTTATACTGATTAATGGCTTCTTCCCCTTTCCTGATTGAAAAAAAAAGTGTAGTACTTTCAGTTCTAGTTAGCTAAGTGATGCTGTTGTGACTATTTGGTACAATTTAAAAATTTTTAACTATATTCATAAATGATGAGTTAAAGCTGAAAACAAAGCAAAAAACATTTAGTGTGCACACTTGCACAGCAATTTAAAAATGTACTTACATATTTAACTATCTTTCATAAAAGTTTTCTCTGTACTTGGGTTCCAGGGTTGAAGGGCAGATTCCAAATTGCTGGCCTTGGACCTGACTGGGAATTAGCTGTCAAGAATCCTCCCCTTCCTTCCCCCCTGTTCTTTCCCATGCTTCCTCCTCTTCCTGCTTGGGGCATGGAGTCACTCCTAGTGTGTAATTCAGGAAGTCTCAAGAAGAGTTACCCTGGGTTCGGTGCTGGAGGACTAGCCTGGGCAGGCTTGGGCAGGGCACCCCAAAAGAAGGGAGGGATAGGCTGAAGTCCATGCTTAGCTTGAGGCTGGAAGAGTGGGCAAGGCTCGGCAGGTCCATCAATTCCTTTCCCTCGGCATCATTTCCAGGCCAGCTGGTAATGGTCTCAGGCCACTAGATGGGATGGACTTAGAAGCTAGGCCCTTGCTCCAGAATCAAAGACAGTGGGAGAAAGGGAAGAAAGGTTAAAAGGTTCCTCACAGACCTCTCTGTCCTTCACTTTCCTCCATTTCCCCCGTGCCCCCTTCTCTGTCCATGTTCCCCTTCTATACCCTAGAGCCCTCTTTGCCCTGTTCCTCCCTGCCTTTCTCTGAAGCTTCCCTCATTTCTGAGGAGCCCCCCCCTCCAATGACGTTTAGATTACTAGCTGTCAATCTTAGAGCCCTGACTCAAATATTCCCTGCCTCCCATTCTGTTGTCTCCAGACCCAGGCAACTCCCAGCCCATTAAAGCACCTGACGTGGTCACTGGACACCCCACATTTTCAGGTGTGTTTTTACTACCTCGGCCAGTTGGCATGCCCCAGAAGCCCACACTTGGGCCTGTTTTGCCTTTGGGGTGGCTCTGTAGCTGAGACTCACCATAGCCAAAGCAGGGACTTGCCCCAGCTGCTGAGTGGATTCCAAGGCATACCCCAGGGCTCACTCGCGTCTTTCCTGCGTGCTGCTGCTTCAGTCTGGGTCCTGCTCTGCCTGCTTATATGGGGTGAGACCCAGGGACCCCCCTTGGGGAAGTGGGGTGAGCTGCAACTTGGCAAGGGCATGTAACACAACATTATAGGGTCAACCGTGTTGACAGGGATCTTCTGGACTTTGTACCCGGCATCCCAAGTGGTGTATCCTGGTGTTTGGGTCCTGGGATGGTGAAGGTTGAAATAACAGTATGGTTCCTTCCATCACATGGGATGTGGTCCTGTTAATCCCACTGGATGGGAATAAAACCACTACCACAGTTTCGGGCCAAATTGAAGCAATCTTTATTCTATTCAGGTGTACCTGAGAGCTGGCCATCCATCGCCTCCTAAGTCAGGTTAGAGAGAACAGTGCTGTTTCTTTTAAAGCAGGTTTACAGAAGGGAGACAATGAGCTCTTACTGAAGTACAGGGGGAAAAAATGATCATATGGAAAACAGCCACCGTCACGTGGTCACTCATTAGAGAGGTCAGGGTGTTCTCAAACACAAGTCTCTGTGGTTGAGGAGAGACACCATGACCACAGCAACTCTTGCTGAGGAAAGCGTTTGATTGGGGCTGGCTTACAGTTCAGAGGTTTAGTCCATTATCACGGAGGGAAGCATGGGGCATGCAGGCAGACATGGAGAGGTAGCTGAGAGCTCCACATCCCAATTGGAAGTAACAGGAAGCGAGAGAGCCACCCTGGGCCTGGCTTGAGCATCTGAAACCTCAAAGCCCACCTCCAGTGACACACTTCCTCCAACAAGGCCACACTTCCATGGGGGGCCAGTTCTATTGAGCAGGTTTTCTTATAAACAAATCAGTCAGGTTCCAGGAAGCAGAAGCTTAAAAACCGTAACTCATCTCTTACAATAAATGGAAACATTATTAATAACAAAATGGTTTCTGTCCTCAAAATGGAGTCAGGCAGGTTCCTCATTGCTTCCTTGATGTATGTGTCCCTGTCAAATCCTTGATAGGGAGCTGTTTTTAATAATGTCATCTGGTTCTAGCATTGCTTATCTGATGGGTGATCAAGTTGGTAACACTTGGAGAGCCCAGGGCTCAATTTGGTTATTAATAGTATGATAGAAATCAGAGGTATTAAAACAGCACATGCCAGCAAATTGCTGACAACCAAGATGATGCTTAAGCAACAGGTAGAACCCTTGTTCTCAGTCCCCACATTTCTTGATTAATTGCAGCTAATATGTTGTTGTAATGTTAGTAGTCTTGGCAATCAACCAGGCTAGTTTAGAGACATCTCACCGTAGCCCGACCACGAGCCCTGGGATGGGTGATAGAAAAGCCACCGGGGCGGGGTCTAATGGGTGTAAGAGTTGTCACAATTCTCGGGGAGAGCTCTCGTGGCTCCATTGCTTGATTGTAAAGATTTGCCCAGTAAAGTGGGGACAACGTGTTTTCTCACATAAAACTTTGCATGCTTCAGAGGGAGCAGAATAAGTAGGATTTTCACTGAAAAAGGTCCCCCCTAAGAGCAATCGTTTGCCAAAGGGGAGGGTGTGATGAGAAGTGGATCAGGATGGGAGGGAGCAAAACGCTGACAGTGGAGGGAAAGACAGCATTAACAGCAGTGTCAGCTACGGCTCCAGCAGTATTGGGGACATGTCCCACTTCTGTCCCCACTGTTCTATAATTTTCACATGTAACCCCTATTCCACATAAATTTCTTTTTTAAAAGGAGTTTCCTTATTGGCCATTTAGGGTTAGATGGAGCCATAGGTTATAACCTATACCTTTAGTAAGTTGTGTTAGACATCAAACCTTAGCAAGTTTGATTTTTAATGGTCCCTTTTCAGTCACTGTTTACCTCTGGGGGTTGGGCTCCTCTTCTGTGGGTCCTGAGGATGCCTTCTTGAAGTGCGAGGGATGAATCTAGGCAGGAATACCAGCAACCTTAACAGCAGTAGCCATCCGGAGAATCACAGTCTGAGGTCCTTTCCATCTGGGTTCAAACCAGTCAGTTTTAAAGCAGTGGACAAATGCAGCATCGCTAGGCTGTAATGGATGGTCAGGTGGTCAGCACCCAACGGGTTGAGCGACGTGGACCCAAGGAATGATCTTATTCGAGGTTAACTGGGGCCTTTGGAGTGGGGCAATCTGATCACAGTTCATTATGTACCCGAAGAACCATGGGAGGTGGTGGCCCATAGACTATTTCACATGGAGTGAACATTTCTCAGTATGGAGTACAGTGACCCTGACAAGGGCAATAGACAAGAGGTCAACACAGTCACTATCAGTCTCAAGAGTATATTTAGCTAAAATCTCCTTCAAGGTTTTATTTATCCTCTCTGTCTTTCCTGAACTCTGAGGATGATATGTTATAAGCCTTAGCACTTGAGATGGCTAAGTGCTAGACTTGGCCATGAAGGCTGAGCCATTGTTAGACCCCAGAGATATGAGGAGGCCAAACCTAGGGATAATTTCTATTAATTTAGCTACCACCTCTGCTATTTCTGTTCAGGATGGAAAGGCCTCTACACAGCCTGTGACAATATCCACAAAGACCAGCAGGCATTTGTAGCCATATAGTCTTGGCTTGACCGCAGTAAAGTCCAATTGACAAAACTCACTGGGTATAGCATCTTGACTGTTGTCCTGAGGAGGCTTGTTCTTCTTTGAATTTACACAGATCCGACATCCGTCTACAATGCTCTGAAGTATTCCCAGTATCAGGTAGCCAGATTGAAGGGAAGTGAGTTCCGAGATCTTAGATGACAAGCGTGTGGAGCAGTGCAACAGTTAGGCAGTTCTGGCATGCCAGTTCTTCCATCTGAAGATGCGCCCTCTACTGCAGCTCTCCTGATCCCAAGCCCGAACAGAACATGATCTCTTCTGGATCATGCTCAAAAACATCTTCACAGAGGCACAGTGGGGACTTGGGGACAGTCTGTCGTTCTAGGATGGTCTGGGGTTCGGGTTCCCACAAAGCAGCCTCTTTGGCAACTTGATCTGCATGATTATTACCTTGAGTTTGGGGGCTTTTGTTTTTTGGTATCCTGGCCAGTGTGTGTTACAGCCAGTTCAGTTGGCAGCCAGATGGCCTCCTTCAACGGGAAAATTTCATGTTTATTTTCAGTAGTGAGTAAGCCCCTCTGTTTATATATCTGTCCATGAATATGAACCATGCAAAAGTATATCAGCTGTCTGGGTAAATAATGCCCTTTTTTCCCTTTGGCTCATCTTAAAGCCTTTATCAGAGCAATAATTACTGATCTCTGGGCAGATGTGTCCCTGACCTCCTTCTGGCCCATGACTGTTCCCCTCACCCTGCATGCTTGGTTCCTTCTTGAATGAAGCTGTTTCCATAGGTGCAGAGATCCACATCTCTGGTACTGAGAGGGTCCAGCATCTCCGGGCAGTCATGGATGAGCTCCTCAGGGTTGTCATCTGGCAACAGGGTGGCGGGATTGATGACCAGGGATCTATCAAAGATCAATCTGACCTGTCCAAAAGAAAAGCTTGGTACTGACTCAGATGGGCATTCGATATCCACCAGTGGGTGGCATCCACAGGGTGTGCACAGTCTGTCCCCGCGTGAGCTTGTTGGCTTATTTAAAAGAATGCCAGTAGCTACGCTGGCTCTTAGACAAAGGGACCACCCAGAGACTATAGAATCCAGTCTCCTTAAGATGAAAGCTATCTGCCTTTTCCAGGGACCCAGGGTCTGGGTTAGGACTCCCTTGGCAATGTCTTTTCCTTCATAGGCATAGAGATGAAAGGCCTTGGAGATATGGGGGAGATTTAAATTGGGGTCTGTACAAGGGCGTCTTTTAAGTTCTTAAGGTTCTGCTCATGTTCCTCAGTCTGTTCCAAAGGTGTGTTGTCCTGGTCATAGCAGAGCACCAGGGTTTGGCGATTTCAGCAAACCCAGGTATCCAAAGATGGTAATATCCAACAGCTCCTAGGTACTTCCTAGTTTGTTTCTTGGTGGGTGGAGCTGGGATTTGAATTATGGCTGCTATGCAGGTCTGGGTCAACAGTGCTTTTCCTTCTTCTAGTTCATATCCCCAGTTAGTAGATTGGAACAAGCAAATTTGGGCTTTCTCTTTAGAAATTTGATAGCTCAGTTGGGCCAGGGTTCAAAAAGGCCACAGGTGGCTCTCAAATTGTCCCCATTCTTAGCAGCTGATGGTAAATCACCCACATGTTAGGGAACTTACTGCAGAAAAGACTTCAGTCTTGGTTGAATGCTCCATTGAAGATGGCAGGAGAGTTTTTGAACCTTGAGGAAGTCTGCCCATCCAAATGTAAAGACGAACGAACATAATTTTGACAGAGGGATGGAGAAGAATGAGTCTTTAAGTCCAATACAGTGTAAACTTTATGCTCTAGCGGTAGTAGACTAAGTGAGCAAGGTGTAGGGATTTTTAACAATCAGGTAAATGGTTTCTAACCATTTGTTCACTTCCCTCAAGTCTTATACTGGCTTTTGGACAGGCAACAAGGGGGTGTTCTAGACTGACCAATGAGGAGTCAGTATGTCTGCTTCAAGGAGGTGCCTGAAGTGAACCTTTATCTCTTCCCTGGCTTCCAAGCACATGGATATTGCTTGGCTCAAACAGGCATAGTCCTGATGTTAGTTGCACTATGACAGATGGCACATGTTTGGCCAGGCCAGGAGGATTGTCCGCTGCCTAAGCTGTCAGAATTTCCTGGTTTGGATTTTGGAGGAGCAGATATTCCTTGCTTACTGAGCAGGTTATATGTTAAAGCCTTATCAGGGCCTTCCAACTGCACCCCAGGGACGTCCCCTGAGAGTGATATTGTTGCCTGGAGCTTGGTTTAGAGGTCCCATCCCAGTAGAGGGTAGGGGCATTCAGAAATAACAGTAAAAGAATGAGCCACAGTTTCTTGTCTTAGGTTAACAGTCCGGTAAGTGGTCTGTTTATATTCTTTAATATCCCCTGTTGTCCCTTGTATTTCCATTGTTGGTGAGGGGTCTTAGGGACCCCCTTGTCCACCAGAAAATGTATAGTTTTGCCCTGGATGATGAAGGTTACCTGAGGCTCCTGGGGGCCTAGTTTGAAGGAGCCTTAGCCTCAATGGTCCTCCACAGCCAGGATTGACTTGGGGCTGAGGTAGTGGGGTAGCCTGCCTATTTCTGTTGTGGGCATTCATTCTTCCAATGACCCATTTTTTTGTAGCAGGTGTATTGGTCATTGAAGCTATTCCTGGAGTTCTTCAGTTGCTTCCATGGGAATTGTTCCCTTTCTTTGGTAATGAAGAGGGTATGGAGACTCTGCCAATAGCTGTCCCTCAGGGGG